TCACCCAGAAAATTCTCAGGGATTTAGGAGCTCTGCATAAGATGCTCCTGTCACCCCATCACTCAGGAAGTTACAAGGGTTTTAGGAGTTCTGTGTCAGGAGCCCAGAGCAGAGACAAGGGGTCTGCCCTGGGCCCTGGGCCCTGATCTGCCCTCCTCTCTGCCTCCCCCACGCCAGGGCTGAGAGGGCCTGCCCACTCAGAGCACTGATTCTAACCCCCATCAAACTCCAGGTACCTGGACTCCGGAATTCCCTGCCCAAACACTCCAACATCCACCCACCCCAGTCTACAAGGTCCTCTTACCTGGACCCTGCTTCCCCAGCCTGGACTGTATTACAGGCCTGCACAGCCCCAGGCCCAAGGGGAAGCCAGAGGCCCCCTGTCTGCAGAGGCTGTGGACAGAGCTTAGACATGTGGGCACAAGAGTCCACACGTACGTGCAAAAGGCCTCACACACTGCTGGTTGGAGCTGAGGTGGGGATGAAGCAGGGTGCGGGCTCCCCCCAGGCCTCCACACTCCAGCGCAAAGCTCCAAGAACTGGGGATTCCAGATTTGAACTTTATAATAGAACCATGCTGAGTTGTCAAGGTAGGATGATAGAGCAGGTTTGGTTTAACAGCTGTGGCCTGAGTTGTCACCTTTAAATATGTGGATATCGCAGGGTAAGTCTCCACCGGTGCTCTTGTCCCCATTTCTACAAGTCGGGTGGGCCTGCTGCATGCAGCCCTGTCTCTACTGAAATCTCACCTTCTTTTGCACCCTGATGCCTATACCCTTGGGATACCTGGGAAGCGGGGACAAATCTGGCTACCATAGGCATTGACTAACTTTTTCTTGGAATTCTGGTGAAAGCCACGGGCAGTGACAACCCATAGCTGAGCTACAGGCACCAGGCGAACAGTCCTGTGGGTTTTCACTTCTTAATACATCAGGATGTGGCCAGTTTGAGGAATCCTACCCTCCCCCAACTGGGAAGCTGGGCCAGTGAGGTCTCAAGGGACCCTCCTGTCCCTCCTGCAGCCCCTCCCTGATCACAGTCTCACCACCCTCACACCAGGCCTGGCCCGCACCTCCTCTTGCTGAGCCACCTCCCACAGGCATCCCGTCCCCTCCCCTGGGGTCCTCCTCACCCACCAGGGGTCTGCTCCAGCACTTCCCATCTGAACTGAGTGACCACTGGCTTCCCTTTTCTGAGGACTTGACATTTGCACAGAGGAGTCCAGAGCCCCTCTCTGACCAGTAGGGCTCCTCTCTAATGGCGGGGCGGCATCAGGCAGTGTGTGCCAGACAGATGCTTTTCTTACTGAATTCATCCAAAGGCCACGGGTTGGAGTCCCTTTCGCAGTTGACAGTCTTTTCTTCCTGTGTTCGTGTGAGTGTGTTGACGTGCAGAATCCGTGTGTACCTTTGCATGAAGATGTACAGGTGTGCATCTGCGTACGTGTGTGGATGTTGGAGACCCCTAGGAGCTGAGACCCTCGGGAGGTCTGCCTCTGTCAGCCCAGCCAGAGCATTCCAGAGCCAGGATTCTGGGCCTGTAGCTCCTCAGGTTCTCAGCTCTCTGGCCCTGCACGAGGCTGGATGAAGCTGACACTGCCACGCATGGAGATGAGGCAGGGCCGTGGGAATGTGGCACTTATGGGCCTTGCAGAGCAGTACCTTCTAGGAAGTTTGCAACCAGCCTCGGTGTCCCAGGAGCTGCTGCAGGGCTGTTTCTAGGAGAAGCATCCTTAGCTGACCTCAGGCACCCCTGAAGCCTCTTTCTGACTCTTCAGCTCTGTCCTGGCTTCCTCCAGATCTTTCTGCAAGGGGGCTTAGGCCATCTCCCTGGTCGATGTCCTCTTTTAGAATAAGACACTGGCCACTGGGCAGCTTTCTGGTTTTCATTCATACTCAGCCATTCCAACATTCTTGAACGTTCCCCATCTGTTACCACCTGAAGCTTTGGCTGCCCCGCATCAAATGCACTTGGAAGAGTCTTGGGCTTGTGCAGACCCATAATCTTTCCTCCTCTCCTTCCACTGGAACTCCCAGCCAGCACAAAAGGGTTATTTACCTACAATTGGGCAATTTACCTACCTGTTGGCAGTGCCACCCAGAGGGTTAGAGTTGAGAAAACTGGCCAGTGTGAGATCCCTGGTGAATTGGCTGATGTTGCTTTTTCCTCTGGTTGTAGAAAAGAACATCTAGTTGACAGGGGCAAACCACAGTGCTGAGATCTGAGCCATGACTCCTGGCTTTTTCCTTCCCTGTTGTCCCTTGGACCACTGACTTCAGTCTTCAAGCCTGTTAAATACTCTAATACATCTATTTCCCTTACTCTCTGGCTCCAGGCCCCCAAGGGCAGTGACAGGTGGCCACAAGGCAGAGTGGGGCTCCAACAGATCCAGATGTGGAGCCAAGCAAGCATACTTACTAGTTTGGACAAGCATCTTGACCTTTCTAAGCCTCAGTTTCCTCATCTTTTACATGGGATTGGTGGTAATTCTCAGGGATGGTTTTAAAGGAATAATTATGCAAAAACTTAGTGTGTGGCTTGGCATATAACGGAGCTCAATAAATGGTACTTGTTACTTTCACCAGCTCCACCGTCACCACCACCACCCCGACCTCCATCAGCATCACCGGCATTGCTATCAGCAGCGTGAACAGACGTGGGTTCCAGTGCCAGACTAGCCCTCTCTGTGTGGGGAAAGAGAAGGGTGGAGATTGAGAGTAGAAATGAGGAGGGGAAGAGAGAGGTTGGCATGTGACCGTTTCAAAGAAGTCCAGCCTGGAGCAGGGGCTGGAGGCTTGGACCAGCCCATGACCAGCAGACCAGCTGGCTCAGTTTCAGAGTCCCAGTTTCAGATCACCCTCCACCAAGCCTCTATGCAGACTCATGTCCTCCATCGAGGCTGGGATATTCTGAAATCAATAGAATATTTTGGGAATGGCTCTGGAGCTCTGGAGCCAGGCAGACCTAGGCCCAAATCTCAGATCTATCACTGACCAGTTGGGTGAATTTAGACAAGTCACCAAGCCTCAGTTTCCTCCTCTGAAAAATCGGTATAGCAGTTGCCACCTGAGATGGTTTCTGGGTAGGATAAATGGGATCACAGATGTCCAGTGCCCAGCGCCCTGCTTGATACATAGGAGGTACTCATGTTCCAGTGGTTTCTTCCCTACTCCCCACCCTGCTAGTCCGTCTCCTGCTTCAGAAGGACTGGGTCTCAGAGCACTGCGGCCAAAACTTCATGCTTTGTCCCTAAGAGCCCTGGGCTTCCTGAGGGGAAGCCCTGGGAGGAAAGTGGAGACTGACAGTCTGAGTAGCTGGGGGAGTTTTACCCTGGGTGCATGCGACTTTGCCACAGTTCTCTGCTAGCCTGGTGCCCCAGTTTCCACATCTGTAAAATGGCGGTAGTAATACTTTTAGGGTTGTTGTGAAGATGGAATGAGATATTGCATGGAACACAGTGCCGGGAACACAGTAGGGAATATTATATTCCTAATATTATCATCGTTACGCATTTCCTGGTTTCTGCACTTTCCTAGTGTGGGCGGGTCAGAGAGTGTTTGGTTTCCAAGGTTACGACATCTCAGCCAAAGGCCAATGGCGGGAGGAGTGTGGATCTGGCCTGGCCACCTCCGGTTGCACCAGGCCAAGGAGCAGCCTAGGCTGACGTGGCGAGTACCCCTGTGAGTCACCTCACGGCGTCAGAGCCCGTTAAGCTCACCCCAGGCTACCAGGCGTACTGAGAACTGTCTCTGGAACTCAGACGTGTCTAATTCTACCAGGAATTTTCCCAGGGACTTGCTGCTGCCCATTGCCAAGGGTTCCCTGTAGCTTCGGCAGTGTTCTGGGTGGGCATCTTCCCTGGTCAGAGACTTGAGCCTCTGACCTTTCTGATCCGGTGTTTGTTTACCTTCAGCCAGCAGTAACAGAGTGAGCTTGATGGTTGGAAGACATGAATGCGAATCCTGCTTCTGTCACTTAGCAACAGTGCAAACAAAACCAATTCGACTCCCTTCTCTGCCTTCAGTTTCCCCTGGGGGGAAATAATGACCCTCTCTGATTATTTCTGTGAGCTGATGTGAGACTAAGGACAATCCAGTGAGGTCATGTTTGGGAAAACCCGAGGTGACCTTAAACTGATATAGACATGAGCAAAATGAAAACTCAGTCATATGTAACTTTGGGCACTGTCTCTCCCTCTCTGGCCTCAATTGCCTTACCTATAAAAGGAAGGGTTTGGGGTGATTGGCATTCCCCAGAGTTGTGATTCATGAAAGAAAGGGTTCTATGTTGAAATTAATTTGGTAAAGACTGCACCTGATCTTCCTCATAGCCCGTCACAGCTTGTGCTTGTGTATCAAAGGCTAGGAGAATCCTGCAAGAAACAAGCCTATTTAGCTTTTTTTTTTAATTATTTTTTTTAATTTACTTTTGGCTGCTTTGGTTCTTTTGTTGCTGTGCATGGCTTTCTCTAGTTGCGGCAAGTGGGGGCTACTCTCCGTTGCGGTGCGCGGGCTTCTCATTGCGGTGGCTTCTCTTGTGGAGCACGGGCTCCAGGTGCACGGACTTCAGTAGTTGTGACTTTCAGGCTCTAGAGCACAGGCTCAGTAGCTGTGGCTCATGGGCTTAGTTGCTCCGCGGCATGTGGGATCTTCCCAGACCAGGGCTCAAACCCATGTCCCCTGCATTGGTCGGCAGATTCTTAACCACTGTGCCACCAGGGAAGCCCAAGCCTATTTAGCTTTGATGAACACAGATTTTACTAATTTGAGCACAGAACCTCATTATTATGATTATGACTACTGCTATAACTATTATTATGTTATGGCTATTTGTATTAATTGCTCTGATTTACCTACCACAAGACATCCCTTGAGAAGTGGCCGGGTGACATGAATGAGGACCCTCACAGCTCTGGCTGACATGGGTCCACACACTCTGAGGGGCAGGCCCAAGGCTGAGCAGGGATCTAGGGGCTCACACTCTGCTTCTGTGTCTTCCAGGTGCCTTTCTGATCCCGTACACCCTGTTCCTCATCATCGCTGGCATGCCCCTGTTCTACATGGAGCTGGCTCTGGGCCAGTACAACCGGGAAGGGGCAGCCACCGTGTGGAAGATCTGCCCGTTTTTCAAAGGTAAAGAAGGAATCTGGGGGAGTCAAAGGTTGTTCTAAAAGACTTCTGTGTGCCCCTGGAGAATCTGCTCCAAAGGTGGGATCTACGGTAGACCAACTCTCTCGAGGTTTACAGTTATTGGCAAGGTCAAGCACGTCCACCATTCAAAGTTACATGGAACGCATTGGGGGTGTCAGGAACAGCTTTAGCCTAGAAAGTCTGGAAATCTGGGTTCCAGTCCAGGCTGTACAGCTGAGTAACCAGAGGGAATCTGTTTTCCTGATTGGGAAAAACTCATAGAAGTGTCAGAAGTACCCAGAACACATACCACTACTCTCCCCTCTTGCTCCCATGGCAGACATGATAAATGGATCACGTGCCTTTCCACCGTGGGCAAGGGGCTTCATTCCGCTGGGAGAGAATGTTATCATGCCTCAGTGTTATCCTGCCCAAGGGGTGGGGGGAGCTGGGATACTTATGCTCCAACACCTGACCCGGCTGCTCCCTGGGGCATTAAATGTCCTGGCACTTTCGCCTTGCCTGATGATAAGTGGACAGAAGGGGCTCCAGGGGCAAGAGAGAGCCCTCAGGCAAATGAATGGGGGGTGGGGCCCTAGGGGATTTAGGGCTCCGACAATCTGCTACAGAAAAAAAGAGAGGTGTGGGAGGTCGGGTAGTGCAATGGTTGGAGCCAGCCAGGAGAGGTGGTTCTGAGGAAGCCACTGCCTGACCCCCTCTGCCCCCGCCTGACCCCCTCTGCCCCCCACCCAGGAGTTGGCTACGCTGTGATCCTCATTGCACTCTACGTTGGCTTCTACTACAATGTCATCATTGCCTGGTCACTCTACTACCTCTTCTCCTCCTTCACCCTTAACCTGCCCTGGACTGACTGCGGCCATGCCTGGAACAGCCCCAACTGCACCGACCCCAAGCTCCTCAACAGCTCCGTGCTGGGCAACCATACCACGTACTCCAAGTACAAGTTCACGCCGGCAGCAGAGTTTTATGAGTAAGTCATCAACCCCTCGTCCTGTTCACACGGGCGCATCGAGACCTGTGCTGGGCAGGACCTGAGCCAAACGCTAAGGAAAACCACAGGAGGGGAGGGGGCCACGCCAGTCACTGTAGTGTGTACTCAGCAGCCACCACAGGCGTGATCCTGGCTAGAAGCCAAGGATACAGCTGTGGACAAAGCTTGAGGAGCTTGTGTTCTGGCGCAGAATGGGGGTGGGGAGACAACACACTAGCAAAAAGGTAAGGAAGCAAGAACGCTGTACAGCGTGAACATGCCCTTCAGGAAATCAAACACATTTTAGGGAGTATAAGTGCTCTTAAGGAACTAAAACCAGTGCTACACAGTGATTGTGTAGGGAAAAGGAACTTTAGTGCAGGTGGTCAGGGAGGGCTTCTAGGAGGAGGTGTCGTAAGAACTGATGAAGTCAGCCAGGGGAACACCTAAGGGCTCAGCTGGTAGATGATGGAGCTGCAGCTTGAACCCAAGTCAGTCTGATCCTGAAGCTGTCACCTGGTCCACCGTGTGCTGCTGTCTCTCTGGGGCTTCCACGGGTGAAAGTAGCCAGAGTTTGTGAGTGAGATTTAGGAAGCGGGAGGCAGGCCAGCTGTGTACAGCTCAGAGAAATTATTTGGACTATGTGTATGAGAGGCACTGACTGGTGTAGAAGACAGAACATCTTTTTAAAAAAGAAACATTTTATGTTGAAATCATTTTAGAGGTAGAAAAAAGTTGCAAATGTAGTACACAGAGTCCCTGTAGACCCTTCACCCAGTTTCCCCTAATGTTGACACCTTATACAACCATAGTGCAATGATTGAAATCAGAAAATTAACATGGATTAACTAACCTGCTAAAGACTATTTTTGAATTTGTTAGTTTTCCCACTAATGTCATATCGTGGTCCAGGATCCAACCTAGAGTCCCATGTGGCATTTAATTGTCACATCTCCTTAGTTTCCTCCAATCTGTGAGAGTTCTTTAGTCTTTCCTTGAGTGTCATGCCCTTGATGCTTTTGAAGAGCACTGGTCAGTTTTTCTATAAAATAGCCCTCAGTGTGGGTTGGTCATTGTTTTCTCCTGATTAGACTGACTTTGACATTTTTGGCAAGAATAACTTGGAAATGACATTGTGTCCTTCTCGGTGCATCATATCAGGGGGTACAGGATGCCAGTCTCTTATTACTAGGCATGTTGACCTTGATCACTCAGCTAAAGTGCTATCTACCAGCTTCCTCCTGTGCAGAGGTAGCATTATTCTCTGTAATTAGTAAGTGTCTTCTGGGAAGTTACTTTGAGGTTATGCAAATATCTCATTTGTCATCAGACTTTTGCCCACAGTTCTTACCATCCTTCAATGAGTCTTGCAGACAAGGATTATTATTTATAGTGTTGATCTAAAGTGATTTCTAGTCCCATCATTCCCTCTAGATTAATTGAAGAGAAAAGTCCCTTTTCCCCTATTTATTCATTCGTTTGTTTACTCATTTATTCATTTCTATCAGTATGGCCTCATTGGTATTTATTTTATTCTGTGGTTTTAACCCATAGCCATCATTATTTATTTTGTTGCTCCCTAGAATCCTCTCAACCTCTACTCTGTCCTTTTAAGTCCTTCAGGTTGGTAATAGTCAACTTGTTTTCAGTCGCCTTATTTCAAATGTTTGCATGGTGGTCTCTTCAGAACGTAGCATCTATTGTCTTTATGCTTCAGGCGGGGGTGAGTCCCATTTTAGCAACCCCCTACACAACTGTTAGCAGCTAAGCAGAAAGTCCCTGGTACAAACTGTGGGGCAGGACAAGTAAATCCCACTCAAACCTCACTCTCAAGGTACACATGGTCTGAGTAGTGGTTGGAAAACTTTCCAGTAAAAAATTAGATAGGAAATATTTTGGGCCTTGTGGGCCACGTAGGTCTCTTGCATATTCTTTATTTGATTTTACCCTTTAAAAAGATAGAAACCATCCTTAGCTCACAGGCCATAACTCAATGGGCCACAGCTGGATTTGGGGACGGGGCGGGGAGGGGTGGGGCGTGGCTTGCTGACTGCTGGTCTGGAGCAGTCCTGCTCAGGAGAACTCCCCGTGATAGAAATGTCCTATGTCTGCCCAGCCCAGTGCAGTAGCTACATGCCACACGTGGTTAGTGAGCAGTTGAAATGTGGCTAGCGTGACTAAGTTTAAACTGTGAGACCTTCTTTTTTTTTTTGCGGTACATGGGCCTCTCACTGCTGTGGCCTCTCCTGTTGCGGAGCACAGGCTCCAGACGTGCAGGCTCAGCGGCCATGGCTCATGGGCCCAGCCGCTCCACGGCATGTGGGATCTTCCCGGACCGGGGCACAAACCCGCGTCCCCTGCATTGGCAGGTGGACTCTCAACCACTGTGCCACCAGGGAAGCCCTGACTTTTTAACTTCATTAATTTTCATTCATTTATGTGTAAATAGCTCGTGGTTACCATATTGGGCAGTGCAGGTCTAGAGGATGGAGAACAACAAATTCACCAACACCAAAACCTTAGGGCCACTCTTCTTTGGTCCTATATATTCCCTAAGCCAAGGACCTTGGAACGAGTCCTGATTATCCAGAGAGTGGGGTTCCTGAGGACCATTTCCACTCCTGCCATCTCGGTGCAGCATGACCAAGGAGCCTTGGTGTGGTTAAAGGTGGCCTCTGGAAAGTCTGCTGCCTCCTGGGGCTCAGAGGAGTCAGGGTTCTCAGGACCCAGGAACTACCCTCAATGAGCCATGGCGGAGAATTTGCTAAGGGTCCTGGACCTGTGTGTCCAGCTACCCCCATCTGTGTTTTCTGCAGACTTCAGCAGGCATGTGCACAGTTATGTAGATTCGGGAATTTTGTGGGGAGAGGGTCCACAGTTGTCATGGAATTCAGAATCCTTCTACAGCCCCAGACGGATCTGAAGGACTGCTGTTACTTAAAGTAAGCATCTAAGCAACACCATCATCCCTGTCTTTCTCCTTATCACATCAACAGCTAATCACTTACCGTGTGCCTCAAGCTTTCTGCTAACTTCTCTGTATGTGTTATTTCAGTGTAAGCCTCACACCAACCTGATGAGGTGTCTGTAACTCTTACCTTCATTGCATATGTGACGCGGCCTCATTTTGCAGTTGAAAAAATCACTGTAAATCACTGGCCCATGGCCACATGGCTAGTCCTGTGCAGAGCCAAGATTTGGACCCAGACGGTTTGCAGCTACAGGACTCGAAGAGTGAGAGCCCCCTTACACTTTGCCCCCAGGAGCCTCACTCTCCTCACCCTGGCCCCTCCCTTGCCAAGCAGTGAAACTCCAGAGCCTGCAGGCTTAACTTCTGTGTTATATTGGATTCTAGCCATTATAAACGGCTATTATTATTCCAAAATACTGTCATAGTCACAACTAACATTTATCCAGCTTAGATTATATCCCAGCCATGCATTTGGAAGTGACATTTGAAGTGGGTTTGAATCCAGGAAGTCTGGCTCCAAAGTCCAGGCTCTTAGCCCAGCAATTCTAAACACTGGCTGCTCATTGGAACCACTTGGAGAGCTTTAAAACACACTGATGCCTGGATCCCACACCCAGAGATTCATTTCATTGGTCTGGGTGCAGCCGGTGGGGCGTGGAGATTAGTATTAACAGCTCCTCCAGTGATTCTAATATCCAGCCAAGGCTGAAAGCCCCTGTCTTAGCCACTGCATTCTCCCATCTCAAACAGAATAAGATCCTTAGTGGGCTCAGGCTAACATGCCTACAGTACCATGTCATGGAAAATCTAGGGCCTCCTTTATTCTTCTCCTTAGGGGTGTGGCCTCGGACAATCCCAGAACCCTCAGGGACCTTGCAGGCGGAGGTTTCAGGCCTTCCTAGTTTATAAGTGTGGTTTGGACTAGGAGATGGTAAAGGATAGTGGAGCTGAGGGTGCTGCATGATACATGTAATTGGTTCCATGCTTTCTCCTTTATCATCTCATGATAAAGGAAGAAAACATGATCTTTCTTTTTGCTCTTGGCAACCCTCGTCCTTATAAATTAAAATGGGAAATGATAGCCTTGTCTCTAGTCTAGTTATTATTTGATTCCTTCTCTGACGTCTTCATAGCCAGCAGATCTGCCCCAGCCGAAGGGAGAAGTGAGTTGGGTTTTGAAACCCAGGTTGCTTTAATTACAGCCTTAAACTTTCTCCCAGCTTGGCTGTGAGCAGAATAAGGTGGAAGAAGATGACATTCTCTTATGTGGGGCTGAAGGGGCTTGGGGGATGTTGTGGGGAGCAGAATCCAAGGCTTATTTCTACAGCTTTCTGCTCCACAGAGCTCCTATCCCCTACCCGCCTCCCCCTTCTTTCCCCTCCTCCATCCTTTTAAGTACATCCCCACCCCAAGCTTCACAGCTGCTGTGAGCCAGGCACCAAGCATCTTCTCATATCCAAGTCCCATTTAGTCCTCGCAGTTCATGGAGGTGGGAATTACTCCTATTTTCCAGATAAGAATGTAGTGGTACAGGTTTTAGGGAAGTGGCAGAGCTGGGATCCGAACCCGGGCCGTCTGAGTTAAGGCCCTCACCCCATCCACAGGCCTCTCCCCTGTCTTCTCTTCCATCCCATCAGAGTCTCCAGTGGGGTGTATTCGGGACAGGAGTGCAGGAGTGTCTGTGGGTAGATCAGAGCCCTTCTCATGCATCTCTTTCTCACCCTGAAGCTGCTTTTGTGTGCTTCTCAGTATCTAAGTCATGAGCTGCCTCTGGATTTGTTTTTGCTTTGTTTTGTTTTTTTTACATCTTTATTGGAGTATAATTGCTTTACAATGGTGTGTTAGTTTCTGCTTTATAACAAAGTGAATCAGTTATACATATACATATGTTCCCATATCTCTTCCCTCTTGCGTCTCCCTCCCTCCCACCCTCCCTATCCCACCCCTCTAGGTGGTCACAAAGCAACGAGCTGATCTCCCTGTGTTATGTGGCTGCTTCCCACTAGCTATCTGTTTTACGTTTGGTAGTGTATATATGTCCATGCCACTCTCTCACTTTGTTTTTAATGGCCCTTTCATCTAAATGCTTCTGCTTTAAAGGTTACCCCCTCTCAGTCTGGGGACCCATCAGGTAGGACTCCCAGGGCCAACCAACCCTGAAGAGATTAGTTGTTTTTTTTTGCTTTCCTCAGAGCTTGCTGGCCGATTCTCTTGCCATCTTGTACTTATTTAAGCTGATAGATTGAACATATCATTCAAGGGAACAAAACTTCGATACTCCCCAGGCTCTAGGCCTGAGGCCAAATAGCCCAAGGCTGAAGGAAACCCCGAGGCTCTGTAACTTAATCTGTAAAAGGGCACCCTTGGTGAACATGCTCAGGGAATAGAAAACTTCTACCCACTGCGTGTAGGGAAGAGAACTCTCCCTCCACCCCAACACTAACCCTTTGCACTTAAATGTCAAGTGAGATCTGAGCCCGTTTGGCCTGTAGACATCGGAAAGTCTGGACCGTGTACTCCATGATGATTCATTTTCATTAAACTGCTGGAAAACTACAACAAACAACAAAGTTACTTGTACTAATCCCCAAGACTTCGGCCTGTTACGAGAGAGGAGGCTGGATTCACTTTTCTTGGAAATCAGCTCTGGAGTCTGGCTTTTTCACTGATGAAGTATCTAGACAATCACTGCGAGGCTGAAAGTGGACCTCACACACATGTGGGTCACCTGGGCCGGTTAGGAGGCGTTTTGGCCATCTGATTGGATTCTAGAGTCATTTTAGCACGTTTGAGGGCAAGCACAGTTGGTTCAGTGCCTTTTTTTTTTTTCATGATTTTAACAGTCAAATTGGCCAAATGGTTATTGATACCATTCAATACTTGGCCCGTATGGAAAGAAATGGGAAGAAGCAGGATTAAGAGTCAGATGGGCTCAGTACCTGATTCTGGTTCTCCATATTTTTAGATATGCCCGGCCTCTCTTCTCTTCCAATCTCCTCCCTTCCCTTTGCCTCCCTCCCCCCCCCTCCCCCCCTCCCCCCCCCTCCTCCCTCCCCTTCCTCCCCTCCCCCTCCTCCCTTCCCTTTTCCTCTCTCTCCCCCTACTCTTCCCCCTCCTCCTCTTTCCCCTCCTTCTCCTTCTTCTTCCTCTCTCTCTCTTTCTCTCCCTCTACCTCCCTCTCCCACTCTCTCCCTCCTTCTCAGCATAGGACAGGGACCTCAGCCAGGGCCTCATTTTTGAGCTGAGACTAGCAGGGACAGAAGTTCACCAGGCAGACACATTGGACAAGGAAGTGTGTTCTAGGCATAAAGGAACAGACAGTTCCAAGGCCCAGAGTGACAAGAGCTTCATATAATTCGGGAATGACAAGTGGCTGGTGGTCGCCAGGAGCCAAAGGCATGGTGTGGCAAGGCATAGGGTGCACTTGGTACAGGACGACTGAGAAAGGCCTCCGATTCTGAAAGGCATATGTTTTTATCCTCTCTACCAGGATTCCACAACGCTGATGCTTTTGACATTTGGGGCTGGATAATTGCGGTGGGAAGGCTGTCCTGTGCATTTTGGACGTTTAGCCTCATCCCGGGCTTCTGCCCACTAGACACCAGTAACACCCCTCTGTCCTCCAGCTGTGACAACCAAAAATGTCTCCAGCTGTTGCCAAGTGTCCAGGGAAAGCAGGGGCAAAATTGCCCCCAGTGAGAACCACTGTTCTAGGTGATAAGGAGCCTCTGAGGACTTGGGGGCAGAAGAGTAACAAAGTTAGAACACAACTTCAGATGAATCGGATGGTTCTACAGCAGCACAGACTGTAGATTTAAGGAGGCTGACTGGAGGTAGAGACACTGGGATGGTGGGAGGATGGGGAGGTTTTTACAGTAGTCCTGGAGGAACAGAATATGGGTCTGGCCTGGCATCGGGCCATGAGGATGGGGGTGTTGGGTGAGCTGATTTCCAAGAGCTAGGACTAGGAGGGGCCAGACACAGAGACTGATTGCTCAGGGAAGTTGATGCAGGGTGAGTAGTTTATGTCCACAGCATCCTGCCTGGGGGCAGTGGGGATGAAGGCCGTTCTGGAGATGGGGACACAGGTCTTTGTGGGCCTTGATCAGCCACACAGCTCTGCTCATTCATTCCTGAGCGCTCACTGCAGACTCCTCTGTTTGCCTGTCACCACCCACCTCCCTCTCCCCATCTCGCCCCTACCACACCTGGCCGCCCCTTCTCAACTCACCGGCTCTCCCACAGGCCCACAGAGAAGACACCAGCCAGCCCCTCAGTGGAGCCCGCCACAGTGACTCCCTTGGCTAAGTTTTCTGGGCACTCCTTAGCTTCTTTGCCAATGCTCGCTGCTCCTTGAAGGCTGGGACTCGGTCAGAATGATAGTTACAATGACCATTGGCGCTGAGCATCTCCTGGGTTCTAGGCACTGTCTCACATTCTGCAGCGTAAGCCTCACGAGAGCCATATTACTGAAGAGGAAAAGGGCTCAAGATGGGGAATGTTTGCACCAGCTATGGTCACCCAGGAGCTCCATGTGGCTGGAGCCATCACCTGCTTGTCCACAGCCTTGTCACCTGCCCCCAGCAGTCCTCTTTCGGTTTTGACTTCTTTCTCACGAAATCAGGTGTGTGAGATTCATCCATACAGAGCTAGTTGCTATATAATATTCCAATTTATGAATATATCATAATTTATGTAGTCTACTGTTTTTGTTTTGTTTTGTTTAATATTTATTTATTTATTGGCTGCATTGGTTCTTAGTTGCAGCACTCGGGATCTTTTGTTGCAGTGCGCAGTCTTCTCTCTAGCTGAGGCGCATGGGCTTAGTTGCCCCAAGGCATGTGGGATCTCAGTTCCCCGACCAGAGATCGAACCAGCATCCCCTGCATTGCAAAGTGGATTCTTAACCACTGGACCACCAGGGAAGTCCCTGTAGTCTACTGTTTATAGATATTTATTTTGCAATTTGGGGTTGTTATGAATAATGCTGCTATGAACATTCTAGACCATGTCTTTTGGTGAACATATGTACAATGTTTCTACTGGGCAAACACCCAGGAGTGGAATTGCTAAAGCAGAGGATACACATACCTTTAGTTGGGGTAGATATTCCCAAATAGGAGAAAAGTTTACTCTTATCTCAGTCTCTAGACCAGGGATTCTAAACCTCAGCAACATGGGAATTTTGGAGGCTGTCCTGTGCCTTATAGGATGTTTAGGTTGTCCTGTGCATCATAGGATATCTCAGTTCTCTATCCTCTAGATGTCTCCTACCCAAGTCGTGACAATCAAAGACATCTCCAGACATTGCCAAATGTTCCAGTGTCCACTGCTTTAGACCATGAGTGCTATGAGGGCAGAGACCTTTCCTCTGTTTATTTACCACCATCTCCCTAGGACCTGACTTGCAGGTGGCACTCAAGAGATATTTGTTATGAAAGCTTCTGTTACCGTTTAAAAAGCAGCCTTGGGTGGGGACGTCTCCCCAGATGAGTTGCTGGCCCAGGGCAGGGAGGTGCTGGGCACAGGCCATGACTGTGCAGGGCAGGTCCAAGTGATGCAGGGCTGTAGCGGGGGCAGCCGAGGACCTGTCTCCATCAATGTGCACTTTCGAGGACTGGCCTGTGGTCGAGGCCTTGATCATCCTCCCTGACGACACCATCTTCCCCGGTCCGCTCCCCTCTCCTCCCCGCAGACGTGGCGTCCTGCACCTTCACGAGAGCAGTGGGATTCATGACATCGGCCTGCCCCAGTGGCAGCTCTTGCTCTGTCTGATTGTCGTCGTCATCGTCCTGTTTTTTAGCCTCTGGAAAGGAGTGAAGACATCAGGAAAGGTAATATCTTTGTTTCTCTTTCAGTTGGGAGGTTGGCCTCAAAAAAGATGTTTTTTTCTACCTATAAACAGGTAGTTGGTGAAAAGAAAAGGTGGTGCTAGAAGTACAAAACCTGGGTTTGCACCCCAGCTCTACCACTGGCTTGCTGGAGACTTTAGATGAATCCCCTCCCTTCCCTAAGCCCAGGACTCCCCAGCAGTAGGATGAGGGAGTGCAAGTGGATCAGAGTTCTTCACAATTTCCCACCAAAGCCTCCCTAATAGCAGAGACCAGGGAACGGGACACCCCAAGGGTCTCTGGAAAAAGCCCAAAGCAACCTGTTGACATGTGTTTGATAAATCTTAAATTCTGGACTAAAACTGCATGCAAATATTGCAGCCTTCTCTAGCATATAACCATTTCCTCCACTATAAAATTGATTGTTCCCACCTCTAAATTTTTGAGTAAATGAGAATGCTCCAGAAGATATCTAGATGAATCCTGGGGCATCCTCTGACACAGTGCGGAGTGCTCGCAAGGGTCTACGTTTCCTGGAGAGAGGAGCACAGGGTTTGATGACCTAGGAGAGCCTGCCAGAGTTGGCATTCTGACTTAGGTGACAGTGCCCCCCATAGTCAGCACCTCATGGTGGAGTATACTCAGGTCATGGCCCACATTGATTCTGAGCCTGACGAATATCATGAGAACAACAGCTCCACTTGGACCGTATGGGTCCATGTGGAGCTTGGCTGTGTTAAAGAGGCTGTAGCTGGGAAATATTCTGTCCAGTGTTTTGGTTAGCTATTGCTGTGTAACAAAATACCTCAAGATGTAGAGATGTAAAATAACAGCCATTTTATTACCTCTCATGATTCTGTGGGTTGACTGGGCTCAGCAAGGTGGTTCTTCTGCTCCATGTGATATTGCCTGAGCTACATGTCTGGGGGATTGACTGGGCTGGAACCTCCAAGATGGCTAACACTCATGGATGGCAGTTGGTACTGGCTGGGAGCTTAACTGGAGCTGTCAACCAGAGCACCTTGGGTAGTTTCCATACAGCCTCGCCCTGTAGCTTGGGTATGTCACAGCATGATGGCTGAGTTCCAAGAGCATGTTCCAAGCAGACAAGCCCCAATGTACAAGTAGCTCTTCCAGTCTCTGTTTTCATCATGCTTGCTATTGTCCCAATGAAAAAGATAAGTCTTGTGGTAAAGCCCAGAGTCAGTGTGGAATACACAGTGTGTATGTTCATTGGGGGTTACAAGGCAACAATAATCAGGTAGGCATGAATTTATGAGAAGCTTCATTAGGCAACTGATTTTGAATTTTTTTAATTTATTTTATTTATTTATTTTTGTCTGTGTTGTGTCTTCATTGCTGCGCGTGGACTTTCTCTAGTTGTGGCAAGCGGGGGCTACTCTTCCTTGTGGTGCACAGGCTTCTCATTGCAGTGGCGTCTCTTGTTGCGGAGCACGGGCTCTAGGCTCACAGGCTTCAGCAGTTGTGGTATGCGGGCTCAGTAGTTGTGGCTCGTGGGCTCTAGAGCGCAGGCTCAGTAGTTGTGGTGCATGGGCTTAGTTGCTCCGCAGCATGTGGGATCTTCCTTGACCAGGGATCAAACCTGTGTCCCCTGCATTGGCAGGCAGATTCTTAACCATGGCGCCACTGGGGAAGCCCTAGGCTACTGATTTTGAAAAGTGGGGTGCATCAGGGTTCTCTCTGGTTCTCCTAAAGTCTTGGTTATGCCATAGATAGCAAAGATAGTGACAGGAGACCAGCAGCCAACGGGAATGAAATTTGACAAGAGCCTGAAGTGGAACTTCCTATCAGCGTATTGGAGACATGGTATCTGCCCCAAGGAAGAACCCAAATGAAATGCAGACCAGGGCTTGGAGGAATTCTAAGATAGAGCAAAACCAGGCTAGGACCACAACCATCCCAATACCTGACACGTAGTAGGTCTTCAGTAAATATTTATTGACGGAGTAGTGAGGAAAGAAGGGAAGGGAGGAAGAAGGGTAGGTGGGTAAATAAGTTTGGGGAACTTCATTAAGTGTTCTTTTGAATTCAACTCGGTAAACATTTATGGATACCTACTATGTGCCAGGCTTGATGCTAGTACTAGTGATGCAAGAAGAAATAAGACAGATTCAATTGATTGTAGTATTATGTGTGTTATAGCCAGGTAAGTGTAGGTCAATGTTATTATTTTCTTGCATCTCCGTTCAGAGACATATGTGTGTCCCCCTTTCAATAAACACTAATGGTCACAAACTATACACACTATTATAGATCTTGCTTTTTCAAAAACTTAACTTTACCTTGAAAACAATTTTACATCAGGTAGGTTGCACTTTAATTGAGATACAAACTGTGGGTTTTTCAACTGTCATTAAATCAATTTAGTGGGTCACCACAATTTTTCAAAATGAAATCGTCTAGATAATAACAGCATGCATTGCACATACTGAAGATAGAGATGTCTTGTGGAATTTTTGCATTTCAGTTATAGCAACCCATATGTCTCGATAAATAAGGTTTTTCTTACCATGAGTTCCCATGGTCCAAAAACCATAAGATGTTCCATTAGTGGAAGAAGGAAACTCTTCAGACTGAGGGGGTCTGCAAAGACCATGGAGAAGGTGGCATTGGGCTAGGTCAGGTAGAGATGGGGCAGAGGGAAAGGGTTTTCAGCTGCAAGCAAAACTACAGAAGCCCCAGGCCAGCCTTGTCCAGTCTCTCTGGGCCTCTCCTGGGTATCAAAAGCAGGGCTTTCCTGGCCTCTGCAGGCAGCAGAGCTGCAGAAGGTGTATGAGTTTTAATACTGCTGCCGGCCTGGGTGAGGGGCCACCACGGGCTTCTAATATTACACCTCAAGATTAAGTTTCCTGTAGCCATCGCCAAAGGGGTACAGCCTGCCCCACCTTGTTTAGCACTTGGCTGGAGCAGGCCTGAGTTGTCTATGGGGAGACTGATGCTAAAGAGAAAAGGAGGGGAGACTCGCATGCTCCGTTTCTTTGTGCAAAGTCACCTTTGGAGGAGGAGGACTCACGCCCTCCCCTGAGGAGTGTAATGACGAGTGGGGCAGGAGTGTTGCCCTAGGAAGCCCCCCGCAGATGGAAACTTGTCGCCTGAAGTCCCTGCCCATATTTTGCCTCCAGAGCAGGCGAGGACCCCTGCAGTCCATAGGGAGGGGCTTTCTAGAATAAGGAACTTGATGCAGGACATTGCAGTGTTCTGTCTTTCATTGTTTTTATACTCTGGCTCATGAGAAAACCAAGAGCATTGCTTATTTCTTCCCAGACTACGTCTGGAACAGGACACGGATCTTTTCTTAGCAGGCTGCCAAAGCCACAGAGCTGGCCTGAAATGAATTGCAAGTGTTCAAACTTCCTGTCTTGGCCGGTGAAGGCTCTGTTCTTGGGAAGATGGCTCCACAGCTGGCAGCTGGGATATTGGGGGGCGAGGTACAGTCTGAATCAGGGAAAGGGGTTACCGCAGACCACACACTCTGTGACCCTGGCCCACCGACCACCGCAGGGTAGAGGGCAGAGGCCAGTCAGCCCCCAGGGCATCGGGCAAGTGTGCACACAGTGCTACTTGCCGCCCTGGAGTCCTGTCTGCCCACCCCCCACTCATAGGTGTTGGCTGAACCAGCACTTAGAAACTACAAGCCTGTACCAAACGCCTAAGTGTTGAACTGGAAGGTTCTCCAAAGCCATGTACTCCAGGCTGCTTGTACAGATGGGGAAGCTGAGGCCAAGAGAGGGCCAGGGTTTCACAGCCGTCTTGGCAGAGCCAGGACTTGAACGTGGGTCTCAAATATGCAGTAGCGTGAGTGATTAAGAACACGGCTTTGTGTTGGTTGATGGGTTGGAGTCGCGGCACCATCATTCACTAATGGGTGACCTCGGGATGAATGATGCTCCCTAAGCTTCGGTGTCCTCACCCCGCAAGATGAGGGCAGTTCATGATCCTGCCCACCTCCAGGGCAGCTGGGAGGATGGGGTGAGAGGTCCTCACTGCTGGGCTAGCAGATGGAAATTGCTCAATAAATGATCCTCACCTGTCTTTGTCCCCTGCATCCACCTGAGGGAGCTTTTAAAGCATGGAGTGCAAGCCCCATCCCAGACCAATTAAATCAGAAACTCCAAAAATGGAGCCTGAACTTGGACATTTTTGTCTATAACTTCCCCCAGAGTCGTCTAATGTATAGTCAGGGGTGAGAAGGAACAGCGAGGAAGCCTACGCAGCCTTCTCCTCTCCCCGCCTCTCTTCTCTGTTTCTTCATCGTGGGCAGGGTGGGCTGGTGTCTCTTTTCAGTCTGGGGACAGTTTTTTCCCTTATGGGTTTCTGGATGAGGCATTTTGTCTTTGCCCTAAATCCATCCCAAAATAAAGAGCAGCCAGGGATCCTGCTTTCTGCCCAGCCACGTCCCTCCCTGGGTGGTGAGCTTAGGAGGACACGCTTGAATGAAGGTAAACGAGAGGGGGAGAGAAGGGAGGCAGGAGGGTGTAAAGGTGAGGGTGCTAGTTAGTGCCGGAAGCTGGTAGAGCAGGAGGCGCTGGGCACCGAGAGAGTCTGCGCCCTCACTGCCTTTGGCTTCCTTGGCAGCGGTGCCCCCAGGGTGCTGACTCTCATTGGGTGCAGCCTTGGTCTGTCCCCTCTGTCCTGGAGTGCCCCAGGCCTGGCCTAGAGGTGGAGCTTTTAGCACGTGCACTGTGTGAAGGAACGTGTGGGGAGGGTGTGACTGGCTCGCCCCCCGCCAGCCCCCCACCCCGCTGGCGGCAGAGTCGGGCCCTCACTGTGACCTTGCCCACCGCCAGGTGGTGTGGATCACGGCCACGCTGCCTTACCTCGTGCTGTTCGTACTCCTGGTCCACGGCATCACGCTGCCCGGCGCTTCCAATGGCATCAACGCCTACCTGCACATCGACTTCTACCGTCTGAAAGAGGCCACGGTCAGTGCCCAGTGACCACCCACCCTTGGGCCAGGGTTGGGGAGGGTTCTCGGTGCAGGCAGTGAAAGAAAATCTGGTCCCAGCTCTGCGTAGCCTGGGATGGATCCTTCCCACTCTGGGCTGCAGCTTCTCTACCTGACCAAGGCCAATTTGATTTGCACCCGACAGTCTCTGTGAGCCTGTCCAGCTCTGATGGCTCGGGATCTGTGGTTCTGTTGAGTGGCCTTTGCAGACCCCTCCTTTCAAGGAAAGCAATACCCTGTCCTGGGTTCTTACCCTCTGCCCTGTGCCGTGGCCCCAGCCTCACCCCAGCCACCCTAGCCCTATTTCTACTCTGGTCTCCAACTCTGGCCTCTGGTACCATCTGTGATGTTGGCATAAGGAGCGGCATCGGCCACAGGGAGACCCAAACCCTGCTGACTCTCCCCTCGCAGCCCCTCCAGCTCACTGTCCTGCCCAGAGGCAGCGATTACAATGAAGGTGGGGTGACTTTGGAGTGGAGTCCAAAGTAGCACCGTGAGGCTGGGAACAGGGACAATCTTAGAGGTTCCTAGTGCCTTGAGCATCTTCAAATCACAGCTGAGATTATTTCCAACCTCCTCCCTCGCGTCTGCCTCAGTGACCACACCTCAATATTTCCCCTCATAATCCCCAAAGACTTCCCCACACTCTACTTGAACCCATAATAATCCTGGCAGGCAAGAACAACATAGGATTAGGACGGATGCCTCCCAGTACACACCTCCCATTGTCCCAGCACAACTCTGTGTTACAGCCCAGTAACCAAGAGAAAACCCTACTTCCTTAGTAACTGTCAGAAAAATAACAGAGCGTAAGACATGAAACAGCCTTGTAAATTGTGAAGCAAGTCAGAGTTCTATCTGTTCTGCATTGTTTAAATATCCTAAGTCTTTCTGGACAGTAGAAACTCAGCCTGAGTGCCATCTCAGGGAGCAGATATATCTTCCTCCGTCAGATTGCTTCTCTCATTACACCCTTTGCTTACAAAGCAGGGGAAGTCTAGAATAGCACGAGTGCGGAGATGACAGAAGTCTCACAAATCCGAATTGTGGCTTAGTCCTGGTGAGCTAGGTAAAATTATCCCCACTGTACAGATGAGGAAACTGAGATATAGACAGTGAAATTGACCAGGGCAAGACCATGAGGCTGAGAAGTTGGAGAGGAGCTCAGATCTCTGGGCTTCCAGCCATGCAGTTTCATCATCCAAAAGATGAAGGAAGTAGCCCCGACTGGCCACCAAGGAGTCACCACTGTCTATGGGTTGGTAGAAGCTACTAGGAATCATTACCCCTTTCTGAAGATGTTGTCTCCATAACCGCTGAGATAGTCATAACCCTTTGCCCTTGCCCTATCCACATTCTAGTCTAGAACATTTTGTTTATTAACTTTCTTTGAAAATCAGGATGTCAAATTGAGCCAGTGAGTTCCTCTGGGGTGAGCTCACTCATGACCAACCAAGGCTGGGAGATGCTAGAGAGACCCCAGCCTCTCTCCACAGTGATTTTGTACAGGCTGCTGGAGAGCAGGAGTTGCATGGCTGCCCATCTCTTGTTCAGACCTCGCTTCCTCAGGTCTTAGGGCATCCCTGGGACTTCCCAGCCCTTCTGGAGCAGTGAGGTAGTCCAGTCCTGTGGAAACAGAGGGTGATGGCCTTTACCTGCCCATTTCAGGTATGGATTGATGCTGCAACTCAGATATTTTTTTCCTTGGGCGCTGGATTTGGTGTCTTGATTGCATTTGCTAGTTACAACAAATTTGACAACAACTGCTATAGGTAAGATCCTTCCTGGGGCTCTGGAAAGCTCTAAATCCTGGGAATCAACCCTTGCAGGGATGGGAGAGAGGGCTCTGGTCTGGGACAAGTCAAATTTTCTGCTTGGGTTTCTTTCCCCGTGAAATGAAGCAGAGTAGACCATCCTGGATGTTCTGTGAACTCCAACATGGCCTATGGGGGTCCTGATGAACATATGTCAGTTCAGGACACCTCCCAAATAGATGCAGAGTGAGGAGCTGGCAAAGTTGAGGCCACTAACACTGGGATATCATGAGGGTGGGTAGCTGGGACAGAGGGGCACTGTGTGGCTTTCAGAGCAGCCAGCACTGCCTGTCTGTCCATCTGATGCCCAGGCAGACAAGGTTGGAATATCCAGGCTGGTTGCTTGAGGGGTGAGGGCCTAGCAGGGTCAGAGCTTAAGACCACACAGCAGAATGAGAAGTCTGCTCAGTGCCGTAGAGTCAGAAGACCATGCTCTAGATCACCTGGTCCTGTAAGCATTTAACGCTGCCTCCTGCAGCCCCAGTGCTGTGAGGGCTTCAGACATGGGCACAGATGGGGCTGCTTCCATCCCTCTCTATCAAAGGCTTAAGACAGAATCGTAACCTCCCTGGTACAAGACAGAGTAGGATGAACGCATACCGGTGGGGCAGGCTTTAGGGAGGCTAAGGAAATGGGGTGATCAGGCATCTGATGGGGGGTCAGCAAGAGCACAGAAGTGCATTTGAGGTGAGCCTTGGAAGACAGTTAAGGTTGGGCTAGGCAGACACGGAGTGAGTGGACAACCTACAGCATGAGCAAAGCCAGGGGAGGTGTTGTGTTTGTGAACCAGCAAGTTGACTGGTTTGCTCAGAGAGTACGTGTTGGGGAGTCATGGGAAATAAGCCTGGAAAGAAGTTTGGGTCATCTCAGCAAAGCTCTTGAATGCCTGGGTGAAAAGTTGGGAGGCACTGGGGAGCCACAGAAAGCTTGTTGAGGAAGGAGGCTGGTGCCTCGATTTCCCAGCAAGAGTTTGATGTCAGGCTCTGGTGTTAAAGTGTTTCATCCAGAAGCTGCTGACCTATTTCCTGCACCTACAGGTTCTGACCCTGTGATGGTGGGGTGCTGGGGGCCCATGTGGCAGCAGGGACGCTGAAGAGGGGGTTGGCATTTGAAGCCGTGGATTCCATAGATGATCCAGCAGTCCATAAGCGGGGTTGGGGAGAGTCAGACCACTTGAACTAACAGTGCTTTCTTTTCTCTCAGGGATGCCCTGCTCACCAGCACCATCAACTGTGTCACCAGCTTCATCTCTGGGTTCGCCATCTTCTCCATCCTTGGTTACATGGCCCATGAACACAAGGTCAACATTGAGGATGTTGCCACTGAAGGTGGGTGGGCAGACTCGCCCACTGAGGAGGCGGGGGCTGCAAAACTCACCTCTTTCTTAGCAGTTCTCCTGTGGCTGTGGGACTGAGAGGACTGGACACGGAGCTTTCCCAGCTGCCCACTTTCTTTGAGGCCATCAGTAGGAAGTCCAGGCAGAATCATCTTCTGAGTCAGGCCAGACCAGATAGATTTGGGAGCACTGACTCTGTACCAGCCCCTGTGCTAAGCACTTGACATATCTTGGTTTAGTTCTTGCAGTGTTACTAGGCAAGTGTTAATAGACCCACTTTAAAGATCAGAAAGCTGAGACTCAGGCGATTGAAGTTGTTCAACCAGCTCGTGTCCTTCCCCGCTGCTTCTCATATTCTTATGGCCACAAACAGGCCAAGACTTGGGGAGGGGCTGCCTCTGATGGACTCTGAAAATCACAAAGTTTTGAGAGTAAGAGGATCCCTCATGGGGCGCAGGGGGTGGGGTTTGAGGCCCATTGCCTGTAGCTGTCCAGGAGAGGCACTGCGCTCTGGCTTGGCTGTTTGAGGTCAACCTCCTTGGTGCATAGGTGAACTCAGGCTGAAGCTGGTTTTGTCAGTCATCTTTAGACCTTGGTTTGCTCCATCTACACGTGACTGCCCACATATCATGGGGCTGGGCTGGGGCTCGTTGGGCCCCAAAATGCTCTCCTGTCCTCTGCAGCTCAGACCAACAGGCCCAGCTATTAATGAGGTCCTTGATGTTTCTTACAGGAGCTGGCCTGGTCTTCATCCTGTACCCAGAAGCCATTTCCACCCTATCAGGATCCACGTTCTGGGCTGTCGTGTTCTTCGTCATGCTCCTGGCTCTGGGAATTGACAGCTCAGTGAGTGACCTGGCTGGGGATACCATCCCCCCACAGACACCACTAGACCTGACCTTCCCTCCCCTAAATACACTCACACTACTCAGAGTTCCCCCGCATTCAAGCCCCTGATCAGTAGTTGTTTGCCGAAGACCTTATTTAAATGCAAACAAGGAAATCAGTACTCACTCAGAAAGGCAAGATTTAGGCCAAAGCCAAGAACCAAGAGAAACCTACTTGACATCATGGAACTCTACATTAGAAGGGACCTCAGATAAGCCAGCCCAATACTCTCCTTTTACAGATGGGAAACTGAATTCAGAGAGGGCGTGGCTAGAACTCTTGTTCTCTAACCAACCACTCTTCCCACGGTATTTCATCAGCATCCACTTAGGCTGAGTGAGCGGACAGGAGTCAGGTCCCTGTTGATAAGGGGGAGACAGGCGTTATCTCTTCACCCTCTCCCACATGGTTTCTGAGTTCTGAGTTGGTTGAGAACAGGGCAGAAGTAGGGTGAGAGGATGGGGAGAAGGGAGGATCTGCTGATTTCTCTAGAGAAGCAAGGCAGCCTCCAGGGTTCATGAGTCCAGGGCTGCGGGAGGTCCAAGGGAGCCGGGAGGCCTGAGACTGGGGTTCAGAGAGTCCCTCACTCCTGTGTTGACTGAAAAAAAAATGCACAACCTGGGACTTCCCCGGTGGTCCAGTGATTAAGACTCCGAGCTTCCACTGCAGGGGGCACAGGTTGACTCCCTGGTTGGGGAGCTAACAATCCCGCATGCGCGTGGTGCGGCAAAAAAAAAAAAAAAAAAAGTGCACAACCTAAAAGTTAAGAATTATGTTTCAGTTGGCAGACTTTCTGGGGACTTCAAGCCTGGGAGGCAGGCTCTCAGATCGCTCTGAGGGACTGCTCTGAAGAGGTCAGGGAGGAGTCAGGATATGTAGGAGTTTTTGCAACAAAGACCAGGTGGTCAGAGCATCAAAAGATTACTGTTAATTAAACAAAACCAGACATCTCAAGTTAATGAATTTAGCGCTTTTCTATATATGGGAAGATGCAAGAGTCTGGGCTCATTGAAATCATTCCTTTGATATGCACCAGATCTATCTAGAGCCAGTATCCTTTCTTTCCCATCCTGAGTCCCCTCAGGTGCACCTTTGCGGGGTCAGCAGTAGTGGCTGATGGCTTGATGGCTGCAGCATCCTTTGTTTGCTGATATGTTGGACAACATTTTTCATTCACCTCTGTATCCCACCTGCCTGGTTCCCTTCAGATGGGAGGCATGGAGGCGGTCATCACGGGCCTGGCCGACGACTTCCAGGTCCTGAAACGACACCGGAAACTCTTCACATTTGGTGTCTCCTTTGGAACCTTCCTTCTGGCCCTGTTTTGCATAACCAAGGTGAGGGGGGCTGGGCTCTAGGTCACCTGGGGCTTCTGAGGCTGCATTTCAATCCAGCCAGATATTCCCAGACTTGAAGCTGGGGGGTAGGGCTAGGGTGAGCTCAGGGGAACCATGGCAGTGCCTGGTATCCTGAACTCCGTGGCCCAGTCCCTTAGGGTTACACCCCATTGTTATCTGTCCCTTCTGAGCCTGAGGATATCCAGACAAATCTTTCAACTGCTTGTTGGTTTGGGGGGACAGCAAAAGTCCATTTTAAACTGCCAACTGAAAAAAGTGCACAACCTGAAAGCTGAGAATTATGTTTTGTTCGGTGGACAAAACTGAGGACTTAAGCCTGGGACACAGCATCTCAGATAGCTCTGAGGGACTGCTCCAGAGAGGTAAGGGAGGATCCAGGATACATGAGTTTTTGCGACAAAGACCAGGTAGTTGTTACATCAAAAGATTACTGTTGACTAAAGAAAACCAGACATCTCAAGTTAAGGAATTTCGTGCTTTTCCGTGTATGGGAAGATGCAAGAGTTTGGGCTCACTGAAATCATTCCTTTGATATGGACCTCAGCTACCTAGGGCCAGTATCCGAGCTTTTTGCTGACTGCTAGATGGCGGGCATCCTGTTTCTATCCTGAATTCCCTCAGAGCTCACCTTCAGAGGGGTGGCTATAATGTGATGGCTGCAACATCTTTTGTCTACTGACATGGCAGGCAACATTTTCTTTTTTCATTGATAAAATCCATCTTGCTTTTTACTGGCTGAAGTCCCCACCCTCAGACCCAGTGAATACATAGAATATATAGCAGCAACACAGTAGCACCAGAAACCCCATTACCTGTGTTGGGGGTGGGTGTGAGTTCTGAGTGAGCGGGACAGGGGACAGCTCAATTTTGATGGATGTAACAGTTGATAGCCATTTCTATCCATCATGGCCTCAGGCTTTCTCTGTCCATGCCCCAGGGTGGAATATACGTGCTGACCCTGCTGGACACGTTTGCGGCGGGAACCTCCATTCTGTTTGCTGTGCTCATGGAGGCCATAGGCGTCTCCTGGTTTTATGGTACGTGCTGGGTCCTGAGCGTGTGGAAAAGCCTCGGGCCCCGTGTGCTTCTGGAGCCTTTTCACCTGGAGGTGCAAAGGGGCTTTCCATTTCCAGGGCAGTCACTGGCTGATCCCAGAGTTGAGCAAGTTGCTTATTGGGCACAGCTCTTCCAGCCCTCAGCTCATCTTTGCATGAGCTCCCTTTAAAAGGAGGAGGCAAAGGCCCCAAAGGCATCAGAGTCAGCTGTTAAGAGAGGAACTCAGAGGAAGATGCTGCTCCTCAAGCCATGTAATTCATTCTAGAGTAGGGTTGCCAGGTTTAGCAAATCTGGGATACGACACATCCAGTTAAACTTGAATTTCAGATAATGAATCATTTTTTTAGTATATGTCCCAAATATTGCATGAAATTATTTAAACTAAAATGACTTTTGTTGTCTCTCCGAAATTCAAATGTAACTGAGTGTCCTCTATCTTCTCGGGCAACCTTATTCCAGAGCTGAATGGGGAGAACATGGTAGAAAGTGAAATGTGTTGTCATTGTTCATTTTTTCCCCATGTGTCACTCACTCTTTTCTACTCATTGGAAAGAGTCTGGTCTCTTCTACCAGATTAAAGTCAGGGAAAGCTCTATATACACAGCCATCATTGTTTTAAGAGAGAGGGAGCGGGAGGAAAGAGCTGGGCTTTGGAGTCAGGCCACCCTGGCTGTGTAACCAGGGCCAAGTCCCCTCCCCTCCCCGAGCCCTGGTTTTCCCTCTGAAAAAGGAATTGGGGCGGCACCTACCAGGGGATGCTACCCCTGAGTGTGTTCTCTCCCCTGTTCTGAACCAGCCAAGTGCCTGTCCCCAGGTCTCCTAAGTGCCAGGGCATCCCTGCCTTAGGAGATACTGTTCTGCTGCCCACCTGGGGACAGACCCTCTTGGGAAGGCAGCAGGTGACGGGCCGGCCCTGTGTGTGTGCAGGTGTGGACAGGTTCAGCAACGACATCCAGCAGATGATGGGGTTCAAGCCGGGCCTGTACTGGAGACTCTGCTGGAAGTTCGTCAGCCCTGCATTCCTCCTGGTGTGTAGTGCGTGGTTGGGCATCCTCGGGTGAGGGGTGCTGTGTGTCTGGGGTGAGGGTGGGGGTAGGGATCTTTGCTTCTAAGGGGAGGAGGTTGGGATGCAGGGCCGTGGTCACGCAGACAGATGCTCAGGATGCTCCGCCCTGTTGATTCCCAGGAGGCTGCACATGAGAGGGGTCGCCAGCCTGGGGCCAGGTCTGGGCCGGGGGCTGTCTGTGCCACCACTCAGTTCCAAGGTCACCTTTCTAGTCTTCTTCTCTTTGTATTGCTCCTGTTTCTTTGTCTCCTTTTTGTTATCCTTCCTTACTTGGATTCTTCCTCCTTTCTCTCTCGATCTCCCTCCTTCCTTATCGTCTCCATTCCTGCATCCATCTCACACGCTGGCCCTCACTTCCCTCTGGTCCCTCTCTGCATCTCTCCCTCTCTCCCGCCTCCTTCCCTCTCTCTCCCCTCTCCCTGTCTCTCTCCCTCTTCCTTCTGTCCCTTCCCCCCAGTTTGTGGTGGTCGTGAGCATCATCAATTTCAAGCCGCTCACCTACGATGACTACATCTTCCCACTCTGGGCCAACTGGGTCGGGTGGGGCATCGCGGGCTCCTCCATGGTCCTGGTGCCCGCCTACGTCGTCTACAAGTTCCTCAGCACACGGGGCTCCCTTCGCGAGGTGAGCTCTGGGCCGAGCCTGGGGGAGGGTGGGGGACAGCACGGGAGGGGGCATCCCGAGTCATTCCCGCTGGGGTGAGAGAGGGAGACAGAAGGACACGGAATCTAGAGTCAGATGGACCTGCCACGTTGGCCACGTTATTTACCCCCAAGCCTCAGGTTCCACATTTGTAACCTGGGGTAATCATACAGACCTTGAAAGGTGAAAGGAAGTGCTTAGCGCAGGGCCTGGCACACGGTAGATGGTCACCACGCGGCACCGGCTATCGTGTTGAACGTCATATGCACCGTGTGCTCCCACTCTGTTCCTACCATTGTTTATGTGAGGAGCTCAGCCCTCCAGTCCCCTAAAGAGCAGTTAATCTGCATTAACTGTGCCCACTCCTGTGTCCCACCTCCTAAGGTTTGTCATGTCCCCAGATGTCCCCCACTCTCCCCATCCAAACTCACCGTGACCTTGTATCTTGGCTTTCACCTGCTTCTATTTTGAACCTGATACCTGATCAGCCTACACCAGAGATTTCCAAACTACATTTTCTTCTTTGACCTGTGTACATTGCAGATACATATATGCATGATCTGCGTTTTAACTAAAATTATGTCTTTCCTATAGTTTGGTTGTTAAATGCCCTTTCTTTTATAAATAATGGTGATAGTCATTTCCTCATGTCCTTACTTATAAAGATCTCATCCCTTCATTCCTTTATCCACTCCCTTCACAGATACTTACTGAGAATCTGTACGGGGCAGGCAGAATCCCCAGCACTAGACACACTCCCCAGAGCTCATGTTCTCATGAGGGGACAGAAAGACACAGGAGGACATAAAGGAGTGAGCTGTACAGGAACTTAGGGCAGAGGGTCCCAGGCAGGGCTGGGACCCCCTCCCCCTGTGACATGTTTCCTGTCCATGAAATCCCAAAGTCCAGGAACCTCTGGGTCACTGGGAGGATCCATGTTCTGTGAGCTCATCCCGGACGTGGAACCAGGACCTGCTTTGAGCTTTTTATTCTCTACACTTTGGGATCCCCCTCTAGTGATCAGACATTGATTCCAGACGCATTCCCTGAGTCCACCCTGTGTCTACAGCCCAAGGAGGCGGCCCCAATCCCCAGGCAGGGCTGAGGTCCCATCACTGAGTTCTCATTGTGCTCTGAACTTGTCCTCTGCAGCACTGACTCCAATCGTGGTTGTAAAACTGCCTGTGTGTGTTTCTGTTCGGTGTCAGCCCCTTCCATGAGCTGTAAGCTCTCCCAAAGCAAAATGTGTGGGTGACCTTCAGCTCTGGATCCCCAGGGCCTAGGCCAGTGTGTGACTACAGTCATTGACTCAATAAACATTCACTGGATGAATGTCTCAAAGTGAACTAACCAGGGTGGGGAGTGTCTTGTACGAACCTCTCCTGCTGTCCATGTGAGACTTCAGGGCCAAATAGCAGGTGGCCCTGATGTGTGGTGTCCTCTGGGCTGCTGGAAGGGTGTCCCTGGGCCAAGCTGAGGCCTCCTCCCCTTCTCCATCCTTTCACAGAGACTGGCCTATGGCATCACCCCAGAGAACGAGCATCACCTGGTGGCCCAGAGGGATGTCAGGCAGTTCCAAGTAGGTGCAGTTTGTACCATTTTGATGGGGGCCACGGGGCGGGGGCCCTACTGCTCCCTGCTGTGCTATCGGAGGCAAGACCACACACCACACTCCAGAAAACCCAGAGCAGCTGTGGGCTATAGCCCCTGGGGTTGTGATGTTACGAACCGGAGGAGAGGGGCCTGTCTTCTGCCTTCTACCAGCTGTCGCCTGCCCCTCCACTCCTTGGTCCTGAGATACCAAATGCCCAGACTTTCCTAAACTCGGTTCTCCCTCTTTGAGTTGTGACCACGGAGTATCCCCAAATTAGGCTGAGGATTTCTTATCTTGAAGGAAGCGCTGTAGGTACATCAATAACGTGTTGACCTGAGTCCTACCCTTTTCCCCTGTAAAATATGGGGGTGGGGGAGCCAGGAGGGTCCCGGTGAGCCCCCCTGCTTCAGACTTACTGTGTGACTTTGTGAAGGCTCCTTTGCCCTTTCTGGGTGCCCGTGACAATTAGGGGATTGGCCTGCGTGTTCTGCGGGTCTTTGAAGGAAACAGCTGTGTTTTCTGCCCCTCCATGTGTCTTACTGCCCTTCTCCCTGGCCCTTGTCCCTCAGTCCCTGCCTGCCCTGGCCCTGGCCTAACAGCCTTGCCGTCTTCCTCTGCAGTTGGAACACTGGCTGGCCATCTGAATCTGACCCCGAGGAGGAACCCTGCTGCACCAACGTTCAGGTCAAAAGTTTCCTACCACCCCAGACACTGTCTGGGGATTCCTCTCCGACCCCCCTCTTCCTCTTTTCCAAGTTACAACTGATTTAGTGACCTGGTTTTCGTTCACTTTCTGTTCACCTGGCCTGAGGGCTGTGGGCTTGGATTGGTAAGCCTTGTGGGAGAGGAGGAGAGGAGGGAACAGGAAAAATGACTTCCATCGAACCTCTTTAGTTTTGAGGAAGTCTCACCCAGTGTGGGAACCGGCCCGAGCTGACGTCCACGAGCTCGGGAAGGACTCCCCACCTCGCTTGCTGGTACTTTGGGCCGCAGAAGAAATCCTCAGTCCACCAGATCAGACAGAGGATGTTGCTTTTTGGTCAGACACTGTAAAACCAAAACACAAATAAAAAGCCCAGCTGAGTTTGGGAGGTACAGAGATCTTGCCTCTCTCGTCTGCCCCGGTCAGTGCTCTGTTGTTTGGACCTTGGTTGGGGAGCTTGGGGATATTTGTCGCTGTTATGAAGTCCGTGGATAGAAGCTCTGGGGGGTCGTGAGCAGAAATCTTCATAGTTAGTTTTCACTCTGGTTGACCTGGGTTTGATTTGTGTGTGTTCTGGAATATTCTTCTGGTTTCTGGCACTCAGAGGGTCCAGAGCTATGGGTGTCACAGTGAGTGGCTTCTGCAGAAGAAGCAGACAAGTCTGTAGAGACCACATGCGGGTCTCGCTCTGTCAGATGCACGGAGCTCAGGAACCTACCTGTGGCTCCTGAGACCTTCCTGGGGGACTCAGGACAGGAACCCAGCAAGGCCAGCTGCGTGTCTCCGCTACGGGATTCTCTGCTGTCCTCACGGGGCCAGGTGGGTGTCCAAGGGCAGCCCGACAGGCTGTCTGTTTCTGTATTGTTCACAGACACCTGCAAAGCCTGTCCCTGGGAATCCCGCCCAGCCTGGACCAGAAGTCTCAAGTGATGAGAAGTGGGCCCTGAAAACTCCCTTTGTCTCTCCTCATGGGCCGTACTTTGCACCATGGAGGGCAGCATGGAACCAAGCATATAGCACCCCGGTCACTCAGGTTGAGGGGAGAATAGTCTCAATTGACGGAGCAGGTTGGCGGTTGTAGAGAATTTCAGGTTGATTTCTGATACAAACTTATAAGTGGTGCCCTCTGGTGGTGCTGGTGGCTAGTCTCAGCTCATTCAGAGAAGCGATTTGTAGTTGGTAAGTCGGTGGCATCCATTTGGAATTTTTTTTTTTTTAACATATGGTCTGAGTTTCTTACGCTCTCATTGGCAATCTAGAGTTGTGGGTTATTGTCCTGACTGTGGGAGGCCCTGTTGCAGAATCTTGGGCAAAAAAAAAAAGGCCACATCATTTCCACTGGGAGTAGAGGGTGCCACACATCCAAAAGGTGCTTTGGGGAAAGTGGGGTGTCACTGAGCCTAATCTATCGATCATGCAGTCTGTGGAAGATGGGCTGGCTGGGGGCAGGGCGGTGGTTTTCTCCCAGGGACAGGGTCCTTATGTCATTCTTTAAAGAAAAGTAGGAAAATCAGGAGACCTTGGATCTTTCCATGCGAAAAGTTCAGTTCAAAATCTGAGACAGCCCAAGTGGCAGGTGTCTTGGACCCTGAAAAAGAGGGGGCCTGGGAGCATCCAACAGAGTGGAACAAACAGGTAGGGGTCTGGGAATGAGAGCAAGGTGACCCGTCACTGATGGAATTTGGCCTCACAAGTGACTGAATCCGCCCCTGAAGGGTAATTCCTCCCTAGGTGTGGCAGCTTGTTTGTTTGTTTTTAACAAAGCACTTTCATCCATGTTTACTCCCATCCGCCCAGCAAGTACTGCAGGGCTGGCTCCTGTGTCCCCATTCTGCAGGTGAGAAAACCAAGGTCCAGCATTTCAGTCATTCTTGCTCAAGGTTCCCCAGCTACTAAGGGATCCAGTTGGACCCTCAAGTCAGAGCCCCTGACTCTCAGCAGAGAGCACTTTGAAATTCCCAGCACAATATGGTTCACCCCACCCAGGGCTGTCGTTAAACATAAACAAAAATCCATCCAGTCAAGTGGCCAAGGCGTATTTCTTAGCAAAAGAACAATGTGTTGGAAGAAGGGGGGGTGGGGGGATGTCATTTATTCTCCTCCTCTAGCTGGTTGCTAGAGAGGAAATGATTTAGCTGCTCTCCTTTGATGAAAATAATCACTCTAGGTAAGAGTGGGTTGTGAAAAGCTGAGTCTACTTGGCAGAAATGAGTCAGAAAAGCCTGTGTATCAGGGGCACCCTTCAGAGAGAGCCTGATGTTTGCTCTTTGCCATCTGCGCGTGGCCCTTCTGCCTCCAGACATTTGTCCGAAGGCGAATCAGAGATGCGGTGCTACCTGAACCAACACCAACCAACCCAGTGGTGCTGCCTTGTGGGGGAAGTTGGCTCCCGAGCCTGGGGAGGGGCTCTGGAGATGGGGGGACCCGGGGCACCCATGGACATTTTCGAGGAGGTGCTGCAGACCTTCTGGGTTCACCTTTCACCCACACTCGATGGAGAGGGAGCATGGGCTTTATCATAAGTAATGTTTGATTTCTTATTTGAGGCCTTTTTTTTGATAGTAGAGGTTATCCGGGATAAGGGTGCTCCTGTGTACTGTATAGAGCACTTTTGATACTTTACCAGATTTTTTAAGAATTATTATTTTCCATGAAGTGTAAAAATATCTGTTTAATACCATCCCGTTAACATCTACTCAATGTCTAATTATATCATTTAGTGTATACCTGTGAGTCGGTCTTCATTCTAGATGCGAATGAGACAGAGGAGAAGGGGACCTGCCAACTCTTGCCAAATATCGTGCCAAATAAAGGTCCCAAAAGCTGCCTTAATTCTCAGAGGGGTTCCGGCCCAGGTGGGAGCCAGTCTCTTGCCAAATGATCCCGTTAATGTGAGACCAAACATTCTTACCAAAGATATCATTTCTTAGTAAGAAGCCCACTGAGCTCATTTCATTTCTTTATTTCCTTTGAAAGCCATGGAAGGGGAAGAACAGAGAGGGAGTGTGGCGTGGGGGAAACAGCACAGCATTTAGAGTTGCACGGACCTGGGTCTACGGCTGTCTTACTGGGTCACCTGGGGAGAGGGGCTCCACCTCTGTGGGCTTCAGAGTTCTCTGTCTGTAAAAGCAAGGGTTGGATCAGAGATCAAAGGTCCCATCCAGTAAAAAAAATTTCCTGTCTCCGTAACAATGTTATTGTTGTAAATTTACAATGAAGGAAGCACACGGTTTACTGTAGGACTTTCCAGAATGATCTAGTGACCAATAACCTACTACTGAGCAGAGACATATCAGGACTATGATTTTTCTGGACATTCAGTAGTTCCTCTTTCGACAATATTTCTTCAACTGATGCCAGAAACACTTGGTATTTTAAAAAATAAATCCAACCCTTTTGTTTTGCAGAATTTGAGGGTAAGTTGTCATGCTCTTATGAGTCCCAAAATCCACAGCTCTGCGATGTGCAGCATGGCTATAGCTGCGATCATAGAAGTCACCAAAATTCCGGTGAATGTGAAGTAGCTTTTGGGGTTCCCGCCCTCATCCCTCTGTTTCTCCACTTTTATGTAAATAAGGACTCTTTCAGTGGTGCCCTGTGTCATGGACTGTTCCAATGTCATGCATATTTCTATATCTGGTGTGTGCATTTATTTTAAAAGCTGTTCTCTTCATGGAAAATTAAGTGTACAGAATAATAAAGGATATTTCCTGTGCCATGTATCTGGTAGTGGAATTCTTTCTGGCGTGAAGGTAAAATGCTACAAATTAAGTCCAATGGGTCTTCTATGATCAGCTTCCAGCTAGTAAAGTAGAGCTTCTGGCCATAGTGGCCCACCTTTCACCCAAACAACTCTTGATAATCTATGGAACAGAAGACTAGGGGGGAGTTAAATCTGTAATCCTAACTCTGAGATTGACACTTTTTTTTTTTTTTTTTGCGGTACGCGGGCCTCTCACTGCTGTGGCCTCTCCCGTTGCGAAGCACAGGCTCCGGACGTGCAGGCTCAGCGGCCATGGCTCACGGGCCCAGCCACTCCGCGGCATGTGGGATCTTCCCGGACCGGGGCACGAACTCGTGTCCCCTGCATCGGCAGGCGGACTCTCAACCACTGCGCCACCAGGGAAGCCTGACACATTTTTATTTAAGTAGAAAGTGGATACCAAGTTAGTAGTTTCGCTTTTTTGTTTCTAGGGCTGAATTTCAAGGGGATCAGAGCTTCCAGTTGGATGGAAATGAATGTGCAATTTAGCACTTGTTTGCATTTTTCTGGGAAGAGGGATACACTAACACTTAGGACCTTAGTGCTATATTGTATTGTTTGGGGAAGGTGTGACCTTACATTGTTATTTTTAATGCAAGTAAGCAGATAGACAGTGACACCAATATAAGGGAGGTATTGACAACCAACAATTCAGTCTATGTCTTCAAGTATGTAAAGGCCGTCAGGGAGTGGGTGGTGGGCCCGAGGGCTGAATTGAGGCCAAACAGAGAATGGGATAGTGCCAGAAGTAGTGAGCACCCCAGTGATGTCTCTTAGGGAGGTTGTAGAGGGAACTCAGTGTCAGGTAGGGGTGTGAGAGGGGGTTGCATACCTCTAAGGTCCCTTCCATTTGGAGCTTATGGAATTTTTTTTTTTTTTTTTTTGGATAGCCATGAACCCAACCTTGCACAGCAGCATTGGGAGAGTCAAATACGTTTATGGCAAAGATGTCGGGGTGGGTTTGGCTTGTCGAATTGGAGTTGGGCAGACATCCCAGAGAGGGTATTATCATCTGATCATTTAAATTTTACCTCCAGAATTGGAGTTAGGGTTTATTATAATGAATCAAACAAAAGGCAGCCACATTGCTTCCAGCCCTCCCCTCACGCCTGCCTGCCGACATTTAATAAGGGGCCCTGCGGGAGTAGAGGAGGGAGCCTGGAGCAGAGGGGGAAAGGGCAGCTCTTCTGGGGGGCTGGCTGCCATTCTGTCCCCTAGGCTGACAAATGTAGTTGGAGAAGCCTCACAGGTGGGCTTCACTTTAAGAAACTGGTGGGCTTTTGAAATGTCCCAATTTTAATAGCACTCCTGTCCTATGTTTGGAGAGATAGAGCTTCATTTTTATCTCCTTCCAAAAGGCCCTGATATGTGGAGTCTCTCCCTGGGCCTCAATTTGTTCATCTGTGCAATGGGTCAGGGGTTATTAACACTAAGTGTTCATGGATAGGCTTCAGAAATAACAGAACCTTCTGAAATGAAACGCAAATTTTTGTGTGCATGAGTTTATGTCTACCTTTCCAGGAGAGAGAATTGATACATTCATCAGATTCTCAAATGTTGAAGACTCACTGGTATATATTATCTTTGGGGGCCTCTTTCTTCCGATAGTACATGGCATCTCTCTCTGTCCTCACCCCAAATGAAATCAGTATGACAACAGAGTTCATTTCTAAATCTCCATCACCCTGCATTATGTTGACTTTTCATTCTAATCCACCCCAGATCCAATATCTCATCTGTTTTCCTGGCAACAGTTATTAAACCTTAGTTTTCCGATTGGTAAAATGAAAAGGTTGGATTAGGTGATTCTGTAAAGTCCCTTCTGTTTTTTGTTTTTTTGTTTGTTTGGGGGGCGTTTTGGCCACACTGCGTAGCATACAGGATCTTAGTTCCCTGACTTGGGATGGAACCCCATGCCCCCTGCAGTGGAAGGGCAGAGTCTTAACCACTGGACCACCAGGGAAGTCCCCCCTTCTGTTTTTGACTCTATGATATACTCTCAGGGAGTGACCACAGATATGATTGGTGAATTCACACTAAAATGTGAATGACTACCTTTCTAGGCAGCTGCTGACAGACAGAAGTGGAAGTTGCTGCTTTTCACCCATTCTACGTTTTTAGTGTAGGTTTCAGCAAACATTTTCTGTAAAGGTCTCTGTCAGAAGTACTCCTCTCCTGTTGTAGCATAAAAGTAGCTTTATTTACAAGACAGGTAGTGAGCTGGATTTGGCCTGAGGTCTGTGGTTTGCCCTGGATTAGTGAAAAGCACAAAGGTTTTGAGCCAGATTAGACCTGGGTTTGAATACCAACTCTACTACTTACTCCTGTGGAAACCTGGACAAGTTATGTAAAATCTGAGTCTCTCTAGCTTCTGAAGAGTGGGAATAACACTGCCAAGAAGGTCAGCAGGATCGAATAAAGATGATGAACACTTAAGACCAACCTCTCTGGGGCCACATTGCCTGGATCCAAATCCTGGTTCCATCACTCAATTGTGTGAAGACTTGGGCAAGTTACTTAACCTCACTTTGCCTCATTTATCATCGATCCATGGGAATGACAATGACCCCACCACCTCATGGGATCATAGGTAGGATTAAATATTAATATTGGATTCAGAATAGTGCTAGCTTACACAGCTTGTTGTTATATGTTTAGTACATGTCAGTTACATAATGCTGATCTATTTCTTCTCCTTCTCACCCATCTTTGCCCATTTCAAAGGCAACCCAGCTACTACTGTGTTTTCACGTAGCCGAAACAATGTCCCTGTTCCCTTGTCCCCTCCTTAGGAAACTGCCCCAGAGGTTTGAATTGGGGTCTGAGTAGCCAAATCTGAGTCTCCTTGGGCCTGAGTGCATGTGACCACTGGGCAGGAAGTTCCAGCTTCGGAAATACCAGCCTGCACAAGCCTTGCCAGGCAGCAGCCAACCTCCTGCAGGGCCTGGCTGCCTCACAAGCCCTCCGCTGTCAGTCCCCATTAGGCTGCTGGCAAGGGAGATGCTCCCTCAGCTGGGCCATGTTTCAGGGAGGCCCTGACCTCAGCTATGACCCAGAAGAGCTGGAGACAGAAGTGTGGTAACCAGAGGCTCCTGAAAGAGCTGGCAAGTGATTGGCTTCTGATGTCTTTCTTATTAGCTACTGGCTTGTCATCAGGCCTGGGAGGGGCTGAGCTGGGCCCCTAGCAGGGCATGAAGGTAAGGGGTTGGGCCATAGGAAATCAAGGGAAACCATCTCTGTCCCCAGAGGACGCCCAGCAGGGGTCATGGCCGGAACATACCCTTGAGCCACGGTTGATTGTTTCTACAGCAAAGAATATAGAGGGAGCAGCCACCCCACCTACTGCAGCTTCAGGCTCCAGTGCAGAGTCTCAGCCTAGGACAGGAAGATGTGGAGTCAGAAGAGGAGAGGCCTGAAGCAAAAACCCAGCTTCTGGCAATGGTGAGCCTGGGGCAGACCTGAAGGCCGTGGTCAGGCCAACAACAGGGTACCTGCCTACTGCCCACCCTGAGTCCATTCCCAGGTTCTTGCTCCATTTCTGTTCTTGCACCACGGCGCCCCAGACTTCCCTGGTAGTTGCCATTGACCCCTGACTCCCATCTCCAGTCACTGGATAGTAACAATAACCTATCAATGGAGAGGAGTGAGAGGGCAGGGCCGATAAATGAGGCAAACTCACTTCACAGATAAGGAAGGACATTGCCACTCTGGCATTTCAAGTGAGCTGCAGAATCAGATCAGGGAGTGTCAGAGCCAAGACTAGAATTTTTAGGTAAGCAATTAAATGTATAGAGTTCCCCACCGGAGTTTTGGGATTGGAAGGGAGCACGGCACAAGCAGTACCTGGCTGGCTTTGTTAAAATAGAAAATGGGGCCATCCAGGTCTCACAGGCCATGGTTCCCAGGAGGACTGAGACCTTAGGAGCATCAGCACCTTGGACAAGGCCAATGCACTGGGCTGACATTCAATTAACAAGCACATCAGCTTATCCTGCCGCAGTTACTATTCCCGGTGCTTTACAAATTGCAACTCTTTGAATCCTCTTAATGAGTCGATGAGGTAGTATTATTATCCCCATTTGTAAGTGGGGAAAATGGAGACACAAAGAGAAGAGACAACTCACTAGCTGGTGGGACTGTGATTTGAAGCCAGGAAGTCCGGCTGCAGTCTGTGCTTCTAACCACTCTGATGTGCATATTCCTTGGTCCCCAGCCATCCAGGCATACCATGGTCCAGCTGGTAGGGGCATGGGTCCTCAACTAGTTCCAACACCCTCTTCAATTACAAATAAGTACTAGATATGAAAATAAATTTATTTATATGTATACACATTTATAATTTGTACACATATACATACTTTATGTACATATGTTATATATGCATGCAGTTAAATCTATATACATTTATATATAAATATAATTTGCCTACATGATGCTAGGAAGCAAATGACTTGCCCTAGATCACAAAGTAAGAGATTTCATCTTGAACAGACCTCTCCTGTATCTCAAGGAAAATATCTTTGCTGGCTTTCTCCATACACACCCCAATCCCATGCTTTCTGGTTCTTATGTCCATCTGGACTGACTATCGAAAAGCAAAAATATTATACTCATATGCGTTAGGAAGATAAGCGGCTGCATGTAACAAATCTAACCATGGTCTCTTAACAATGAGTTTTTCTCATTTTCTTGTAACAAATAGGCAATGAGTCAGAGAGAAGAGTGTTCTTCAGCAGGAAGACAAAGGAGAAGTGTCCCTGGTTCTGGAGAAGGACTTTAGTGAGGATCTCCTCCTGGACATGCCCAGAAGCCCAGGATGCCTCTGGTGATGCTTAAGAAAGTCATCAAGGATTTGGACTCCTTCTAGCTTCCTGTTCTACCATCTACAGCATGCGGTTCTCACGGTCATGGAGAAAAATGGCTAATCCACCTGCTGACATCTTGCCCACCTTTCAGGCAGGAAGAAGGGAAATAAAGAGAAAGAGCAAAGGGCAGAGGCCTGCTGAATCTGTGCCTCTTGACTCTGAAGAAGAGTAGGTTTCCTAGAAACCCACCTGGATGTCCATCTACATCTCATTGGCCAGATTCAGGCAACCTGGCAACTTTAGCTGTAAGAGAGTCTGGGGTAGGAGAAGACTGTGTAACTGGGTACATTGCTTCTCTGGACAGAATCAGGAAGAGGATCTTAGGAAGAGGATGAGAAGGACATTGGGAAGACACTGGTCATTACCTCCCTTTCGTGGCTTCCTCACCTGAATTCATCGTCTGCTGACAATGGCAGGGGCCCTTGTGAAAAGCACCATGGTCTGAGTGGCCATAAATAAAGGGCTTCTCTGTCCTATGGGGTGAGATCAATGACTCCTTTGGGCTCAAGTTATGGGGATTCGGGACGCAGGTCTTGCAGGTGAGGACAGACTGACCTGGGTTGGCATTTACAGAGGCACCTCTAACTGGCTGAGCTGGCAGCTATGTCTGCTTGTAGCCAATTATAGAGTTAAAATTTTAACAACTGACCTTCTCTTTTAACTCATGTTTTAATTCAAATAATGTACACATGCTGCTCCTCTCTGCTAACTATGCTGATAGGCTCTAGCCTGTTTGGCTATTTCTTTTTATCCTGAATCACAGGTGTGTAGGATCAAGCAGTCAGCAGAAAAACAGTCAGTCTGGTCTGCCTTGACCGGAGGCAGACCACCACAATGTCCATGAATCACGGAAGTATCAAAAGAAGTGGCTCCAGCCCAGCGAGGTCTCAGTCACATAGTCTTGCGATCCCCACCCTCAAAACTCTCCTTAAATAGACCTGCCCTCTTTCAGAGAGTAGGACGGTAGTTTTCAAGATCTTAGTCTGTTACCCTCCTCATTTGCTGGCACATTAAGAAATTTTTCCTTCCTTTATCCTCAAAACCTTGCCCTCGTTATTCTCATTTGGCATCGGGGACAGGGACCAAATTTTCGGTTACAAATTGGCTGAGCCAGCCAGAGGCACCTCGGCTCCCCAGCGGGGTGGTGTTCATCCCCTACCCAAGCCCGCTGGAACACTGTCAGAGCGGGGAGGGCCCGCCCCCGCCCCAGGTTGCACTTGGAGCCCACGCCGGCAAGAGGGCTGCCTTCCGGGAAGAGAGTGAGGGACTGTCCAAGCAGCGGCCGGAGCCCCATTTAGCTCTGGGGAACTCCGGTCTCTCTCCCCAGATAGGACGTGGTCCCCTGCAACTTGAACCTTCTTGGAGGAAAAGGAAACAGATTTTGGAAGAGTCGAGACACCTTGGCCATTTGGGTAAGTCCCCTGGTGTGCACACCGAGATCCTTGATTCCGTACTTTTAAGGAAGGTTGTGAAACTTCCAGCCCTTTACGGGTTGTTTGTGGCACCAATGGTATGGAGGTCACGGTTGAGTGAGACCAGAGAACCCGGGGAAGTTGTTCCCTTTTGTTCTCTTTTGAGTTTTGAAAGGTTCCTGTTTGTTTAGCTGGCCTTGTTGGGTTTGGTTCCTTTGTTGTTCCTTTGTCGTTTGTCTGCTTTTAAACATGGGAGGTGCCGTTTCAATTCCGCCTGAAAGTCCCTTGGGAAGGATTATGGCCAAATGACCAACTTACAGCTATAAGCCTATGTCTAAAAGGAAAATGGGTAATGAGAGCTCTATTCCATCTTGTACTTGTTCCCTAGGGTGTATTTTAGAAAACTGGGTGATTTTTAGTATGCTCCTAGAAAGAGAAAGAAGTTGTTTTTTTGTTTGTTTGTTTAGAAGATGTTGGGGGTAGGAGTTTATTAATTTATTTATTTATTTTTGCTGTGTTGAGTCTTCGTTTCTGTGCGAGGGCCTTCTCTAGTTGTGGCAAGCAGGGGCCACTCTTTATCGCGGTGCGCGGGCCTCTCACTATCGCAGCCTCTCCTGTTGCGGAGCACAGGCTCCAGACGCGCAAACTCAGTAGTTGTGGCTCACGGGCCCAGTTGCTCCGCGGCATGTGGGATCCTCCCAGACCTGGGCTCGAACCCGTGTCCCCTGCACTAGCAGGCAGATTCTCAACCACTGCGCCAGCAGGGAAGCCCAAAGTTTTTTGTTTTTTTTTTTTTTTAACACTGCATGGCCACAGTGTTCTTTAGACTCTGGAGAAAAATGGCCAAGATGAAGTTTTTTTATCCAAAACTGTTTCTTTTTGCATATGCAGTTAGAGAAAGCTGGTTTGATAAAATACTTTTTTTCAGAATTCTGACCCTGTGAGAACAAAAATATGCCTAGGAGAAAGCTTGAGGTTAACGCTTACATGTCCTTGAAATATAAACGCAGCCCTCTTTGCCTGAGACTTCAGCCTTCAGTTAATAAGTAGAACTGTTGCCAAAATCTCAGCTTCTCTGTGCACCGATGCCGAACAGAAATTCGGAGCCAGAGATTTTGGAGGAAGAGAGAGATGGCTTGATTTTTTTCTTCCAGGCACAAGGGAAGACACAGCAGGCTAGCGCCTCAAGGACTGTGCCCCGCACCCTCCTTCGGGAATCGGAGAAGATTTTATATGTGGGGCTGCAGTCCGGGGGTATATGATAAGGGTCAAAGTAGTGAAGGTCTTGCATTCTTCTTCTTCCCGCACTTCCCGCATTATTTCAAAACAGTCACAGCTGGCGTCAGGCAGTCGGGTAATTGGGTCCGTTTGTCTCTGCCTTATCCGCCTGCGACCTTGTTTCTGAAATGCAAATCCTACAAGGGGTGATTTACTACAAGGGAGTGTAATTCACAGAGTGTTAAAGAGTAATAGGTTAGCTTTGTGAAGTACAAATCTAGTTACAGAAACTACAGATTAGTAACAGTTAAAAAAAAAACAAAAAAAAACTAGGAGTGATTAACCTTTCAGGCCAGGTCATGTTTCTTCTCTAGCCTGTTCACTGTTCCCTTGTTCTCAGGAGGGAGAAAACTTCACTTCTATTTTTGCTGCAACAAATTCCCCACTGCTAGTTCATTCCCTCCATATCAACGGAGGGAGGGAAACAGGCATCATTCTTGTCTGGCTGAGGACAAAACTTCAATTTTGCTCCACTTGACAAACACCAGCTATCTGGCCCAGGGGCCCATCTATCTCCTATTTTATATCCCCCCTGAGAGGCGTGAACCCCAAGAAATCTTCATTGGGAGGATAAGGGACGATGGTATGTCTTCTGTAGCTTCTTTAGGCTGGCAAGGGGCTCGTAGACCCTACCCAGTCGGGGTCACGGAGCTCTCACCCTGTCTTATTAAGGGCCCCGGGGTGACTTCTGTTGTTGTTTTGGCAGGATCTGTTCTGAGAAATGGCTGGAATCTTTGCATCATCATTATCTTGATGTGAACCTATTGTAATCTGGAAGAGACAGAACTTAACAGGTAGTTTAAAAAAAAAACAGAGGCCAAAGATTAGTAAAAGAATTATTGTAGCCGGGGTCCCAAGCAGGACTAAGAGCCATGTTACGCTCGGTGGTAATTTTGATCCTGGTCTAGATAGAATCAGCATTTGGGTTACCCTGTCTAAAGGAATGGAGCCATTTGGTATAGTCATATATATGATTTCATGTCCTCTTCTATTAGCCCAGTGTGATTGATGTAGGTGTAACAGACCCTATTAGAAGTATTTGGGGGAGTGACAACCTAAACGTTAATAGACAAAATAGATCTCATTTCTTTTTAGGAGAATAAATCTGAAACCCAGTCTAGGCCTGGCGCTTTGGGGAGACTTGTAGCTAGGTAGCCGGTTATCTAGTTTCATCAAAATAGGTTTTAACCTTTGATGTGGTATTAACATATAAGTAACAGGAGCTACTGGTCACTACATATGTGTTTTCTCTTTTTGTTAACGTATGATCTAAAGAAGGTTTTTCATCTAAAAGTGTAGTAGTTACCAGAGGAGACCTTTAAGAAGTAAGGTTGCAGTTACCAGCTGCCAGCAGACGTTCTTTTGAGAATGGCTGGTAACATCCCAAATCTAACACAGCTCAGAAAACTCAAGTTCTTAGCAATAAAAGGACTTGCCTAAAATAACACCTTAGTGTCCCTGTTAATGATGTCAGTGTTTCTCTAGGTATGAGAAGATGCAAGACTTGGGGCTCATAAAATCTTCTCCTGAAAGTATTTAACTATCTGAAAGCCTGTCCTTGTCTGTTTTTCCCAGAGCACAGAGTGCCTCATTTAAGATCTCCACCCTGAACTCCTTGTAGAGGGTGTTGAAGGTCACCAGCTACAGAAGCTCATGATTTAACCCTTGTAGAAGGAGATGGCAAGTGTCAGTTTTCAGTCGGCAGGGCCCCTTTATGGTCATAATTTCAACCATGGTTTGGGGAATTTCCTGACCATTTTGTCCCACGGTGCTAGGAACGCTCTTTCCCAGGTCTGGCAAAGATTTTGCTAGTAGGCCACTCCATGTGCTATTACTGGACTAGGCCTTTACTCGTATCCAGAAGTCTCTGGACCACCTGTCTTCCTAGTCTCTGATGGTCCAGGAGATTCCCTCTTGTTGCTTCTTCTCATATCTAGAGTTAGGTTATGGTAATCATTTGATCTCCCATGGAACTATATATCCTCACTTTATCAGAGGCTCAGTCACACATTTGGTAACGTAAGAAACAATCATTTTTTTGAAATAGGCAAAATACAAATAGCATAGCTGGCAGTATTAATAAAGTCCTAGGTAAGAATTCAGCCAAGAACTTCCATTAGGTGCAGCCCAGTATATCCCAGGTTGTCTTGACTTAGTCTGTTCTATACTAATCCCTGTTCTTCAGGGAAATTATATATTGGCATATTGTCCATAAGGTACTCAGCCCAGCTTGCTAGTGTTACTAGAATGATTATCCTTAGTATGATTTAATTGTTCCCAACATAGAGAAGCCTTTAACCTTAAATTACCATAGCCTGGTGTTAACTACATAAATCCATCCCATGATGGTGGGAGGTTTTATTCCTTGGCTGAAATTTTGCTTGTTGCTCCGATTGAACTTTGAGTAATAGAGGAAAATTCATATTTATGGTCAGGGTCAGAGCAGGTATTATTAATGGGTCAGGTGAGGGGATCTTATCTAGTAATACCAATAGTGCCCTGAACATGACTATAATTTTCCTTTTAAGATTAATTTCTTAAGAGTCAACCAATTAGAGCCTTGGAGTGGAGAAATCCACTCAGGTAACCCAGAAGTACTAGACATAGGTAATTGGCCACAAACCCAACAACTGGATTGATTTTTAAAACTAGCATAGGATCGTGCCTATGATAGAAAAACATTTGATTCATATGCAAAGGTCCAAGAAGTCAAGAGAACATTATAAATGGGCGTATGAGTCAGGTCCAGGATCTTGAGTAAGCTGTCTACTTCTGATGTTGTCTTTTTCTCATCCTGGTGTGAGTGTAGTTTCTCCGCTGTTTGAGCATTGTTTTAAGGTGATTTTGAGG